CCCTGGTGCCGCAGTCAGCCAGGCAGGGAGCGGGAAGAGGTGGATGCTTCCTGGCAGCAACCAGCCAAGTGGGAACTTTACAAGGAGGAGAGGGAAGCACACTGCTTAACTCGCAGCCCTGGCTGCCCTGGGCTGGACCCACACACACTGCCCTGCAGCTGCCTGCTTTCTAGGTTTTTTTAGAGCAGAAACCAGCCCTACACAAGTATCCTTTCATCTGTCCTGTGACCACATCTAGTGACTGTTGGTAGCCATTCAGCTGGAAACCAGGGTTACGTGCACGCTTTGCGGTGCCACAGCCAGGACTGGCCCAAGAGATGATAAAATTTCTCTCTTAACTGCGCTGTGTTTCCCTCCCTTCCAGCAACCTAGCATCTCTGATGGATCTACTCAGAGGTGTAAGCATGTTCTGTGGTTTGCTCTCTACTCTTTTCCTCACGATGCACCTTGCTTTTCTGACTCTGGTTGACCACCAAGCAGCTGCCCTCCTGGAACTGTCCCCCCCTTAGCCCCAGAGTCTCACACCCGAATGGTGACAGTCAGCTCAGAGCCTGACCTTTCTGTATGGTGCTGGGGTTATCCACAGTACAGATGGACGTGTCACTTCCTACCTGCAAAGTACCCCATTCATGCCACATCCTGGCAGGTACCACATACCCGGATGTACATTTTCATTCCAGGCTCTGTGCTAGGTTGATGCCCTACAGCTTTTGTAGTAGGGAAGAGACTAAACTGCTTGTTGTCAATTGGAAGGAAAAACGGGGTGCAGTTTGGTAGGAAGAGGAGGCCCACAAGTCAAGGGCTGAAAAGATGACTTACCAAAGCCACTGCAGCAGCGACTCAAGCTTAGACTGGTCAAAAGCACCAGCAAACCCAGAAGATGCAATCATCTCCTTTGGAAGGATATTACTTTACAAGGAAAGAAAATTCACATTAGGAATAGAACTTCTTCTCTTGGAGAGACAGGAATGATGATGCTGCACTAGTGGCATTTCAAAATAAAGCTCTGAAAGGCAGCATTTTCAAACATCAGCCGTCGCAGATGAACATAGCCATGTTCGTCCAGGGCCAGAAGCCCCCAGCCCCCTCCCAGTCAGTACCTGAGGCAGGACACAAATGCTTGGGCTGCAGGACAGACCATTGTGTGAGCAAGGGAAAGGACTGAAAGTGCTCCAAGAAAACTGCCTCATGTCAGCTGTCCTCACAGGGGCCATCAGATGCCAGCCCTGGATACAACAAGGCTCTGCTATCCCTCCCTGCTCCCAGCGTAACCTCTACTGCTACAAAGTGCCTAAACTTGGGATTTCATTCCCTGAAGTACTAGACACCATAGGCTAGACCCACTAGCCGGGAACGCCTAGTGCTTTAGGGAATGAAATCCCAGGTTTGGGGATTTCGCAGGAGCAGAGAGACACCACCAGACTTTTTTCCTTGATGCATTATCTAGTCAGCCTCCATCCTTCCCTTACACACTTCTTTTTCTTCTCCATGCCTCCAGCAGCACTGTTGCTACAGCCCAATGAATGGGATTGCGTCAGTAAGTATTGTGCACCTCTCGACAGCCATGCAGACCCCATCTGCCACAGCTGACAGCCGGGTGTGATCAATCCTCCCATTACATGCTGGTTGATCTCCTGTGGCTTGGAAGGACTTTCCTCGGGACAGAGAGCAATGCTATTGCCCAGTGCAAAATTACTTCACAGCAAAGGTGCTACCTGTAAATACCAAATAGATAAAATGTAGTAATCCAAGATTTCAGGACAAAATCTGCATCTCTGAAATCAGATCCTCAACTGTATCGAGCAAGAATAATTTTTTTTTTCCCCCTCTTAATTTAACTGGAGTGGGAAACATCTCCTTTCCGTAAAATAATTCACTTGACCATGTGTGTCTTGCTGGGCATGGGGAGTTGGTGGGGGGAATGCATGAATTGCTCCTTATCCCTCCATAAGGACTGTCTTATAACATGCAAAATTTTGTACTTTAAAGCAAACCTCTCCTGGAATTAAAAAAAAAAATAAAAAATTTACTGTTCCTCTTGTCCAGTCTTTTTACTCCAGAAACTTCTTCCTTCCAAACCCCATAGATTCCCTGTGTTCATCTCCCACTGACCTGTCTCTGGTCCCCCAGGGCCCTCGCTGCCATGCTTGCAGCTAACCTTCCACATCAGTCCTGCCCCACGGCTTCCTCCCCATCTCTTCCCACCTGCTGTCACTAAAATATTTACCACTTGCTGGAGATGGGGGTGACTTCTAGGAAGAGAAGAGCACTAAATAAATAATGACAGAGAGAGGAGAGATGGGACGTTTGCCTGCAAGAAATTTTGATTAGGAAGAAGAAAGCCTTTTAAGAATTCTCCTCCATGGCAAATTACCTTCCCCTGCATTATTCTGTCCACTTCTTTTCTATAACACAATCACATTAGTTTCCAGACATAATCCATCTAAATATCAACATTTGGGACCTGAGTAGGGAGCATCAGCACAAATTCTTTCCTGGGTGAAAAATAAGGCCATTGGGTTTCAGTGTTTGGGTTTTTTTGGAGGCAGAGGGGAATACAGAATTAAAAATTTGTATGCAGGTCACAGATGGCTACAAACACAGAACTGCTTCTCAAGCACTATTTAGCTGTGTTTCAGGCCATACCATCCTCACAGGTTTAGACTGGACAGCACTGTAGTTACTACATGGAGCAAAACTGGGAAAGCTGGGTTTAGAAACGGATTTGACATGTGTCTACACTGCAGGCTACAGCAAAAAGGTACCCACAAAAGGTAAGTGCCAGAGGTAGCTGACAGACATTCCTTATGTGCAGGTTAATTTACTCTTCTAAAAAGCCTTGAGACACACTATGCTACAACAGCTACAAAACTGCCTTTCAGCCCCAGAGGTAGCTCAGGCTTCCTGCGCTGCCTTTTGTTAATGACCCATTTGTGCCTTTTCCCAGTGGAAATGTGAGGGAGGGAAGAAAACAACATTACTTTGCTTTTCTGCCAGACTTCATCTGCTGATATCAAACTACTAAAAGGCAGCTAAGTACTACTAGTCTTCTTTAATAGATCACAACAACAAATCCTGGGTCACAAACCATATCTCTGGCAGTGGTAGGGTGAAAATGGAAGTTTCCTGGCTGATAGTCTTCTGACTGAATCACTTGCCAATGATGTCTATCAGCAGTGACATTAATCTGCCACCCAGGAATGCTGGAAGGCTTAATCCATTGGATGAAGTACCCCCAGTGAGCAGGAAGAGCTGCACCATGTTTCAGTGCGGGTACCCATCTGCAGACAGTCGCGTCTCATCAACCCGCTGAAAATTCTCCTTTAAACCTCAAGCTGACCCATCACTTCAGTACTACAGAACATACTTCGGTCCTTGGTAAAAGGTTGCAGCACATGCTTTCCAGCTCCGAGCTTCCTGGCTGCTGATCCACAACACAGAGCAGCTTACAACTCTCTAGCACCAGACGGGAGAGAATCCAGAGCCACCATCCTCCCAGGGAAGAGAGCCTGCAGATGCTGTTCCCAGGGTGCCGTCGCTGTCACGGGGCACAGCAGTCCTGGTGCTGGTCCACAAATCCCTGCACACCACACGCAGAGTCTCGCACACACTGTGTGGCCATCCCAAACCCAAAGAGCTTTGACAAGTGCTAATGAACAAAGTCAAGCAGTCTGGGGGAGAAATACATGAGCTGACTCATTCCTCTTCGCAGGACAATCACCCAGAGGAGGGAGCTAGTCCCCATCCCCACCCTGAGGTGCAGGTAGCACTGGGCGGGTGAAGAAGAACCCACAGTGGGGTGTTGTCTGTGTAAAGCAGAACCAGACAGCAAGGAAGCTACGCCCAAAGTTCCCTCCCTAGCCTCCCCCTTGCTAGCTGCACTTGAAGAGCCAAGCGCTAGGGCTGTGGCTTACCCCAGCACCCTCCGGCTCTGCCTTTCACCTGAGCATCCCTCAGCGACTGCGGCTTACCTCCTGGACCACTTGGCCGACTGCCTCCCGAAGGGTCTCTTCCAGAGCACGCCGTACAGCTGCACTTTGGTGCTGATGTCCAGAGCATCTGAATCTGCCTGCTCCATGGACGGAGAAGGGGATACGGAACTGGATTTTGACGCGAACATCATAGACGGATCTGGCTCTAACTCTCCTCGCTCTGTGCGGCAGCTCAGGGAATCCGATTAAATGCAACGAACCAGAAGGACGTACCCAGTCGCTCCACGCGGCAGACGGAGAGACTGGGCTACGGTTTGAATCAATAACTTGGCTGCTCAGCACTCAGTCAATAATTCTCTCCCTGATGCACAAATGATGAGAGTTTCCTCATTGCGTATTACTTCCTGATGCATCACAGGCAGCACACATCCCAGCCCAAGGAATTAAAAAAAAGGGAGTGGAGAGAGCCAGAGATCGGGAACAGAGAGCGACAGAAAGAGCTCAGCAGAGAGAAACCTCCCAGCAATAACATTAGCCAAAAAACCTCTGCAGCAGAGCCAGCTTGGAAGGTTATTTCACGCGACGTTGCAGCACCCCAGGCAGAAATCAGGGTGAGACGGACGCTTCACTGCCCGGCATCCCTTACTCTGACGCATGCCCCCAAAATCTTCCACTTGGAGACAGGTCCTTCTCGTTTGTCCCAAGGAAAAGGGGAGAAGAGCGGGTGGGAGCCAGCAAGTACCACCAGACTCCTTCTGCCATCGGAAAGCTTTGGCTGTGCCAGCCCGGCACTGCCCACCCGGGTACAGTTCACGTGGCTGCCGGGTTTGGACTGGGCAGTGACCCATGCTGCACGCCTTGCTCAGGCTTAAAGGGCCATGGCTGGTCAAAGTGAGAGCATCTGAATTCTGCCTGCCCCCGTGCCCCCTCCTGCTTCTCGGGTACATGGCAAGCGCAGCCTCTGCCCTGCCGCTTTGGTACCAGCTCCTTCTTGCTCACAGCACAGAGACATGGGAATACATCACACAGCTCAGGTGAGTCTCCATTCACCTCCTGTTTAGTACTCCCACAACAAGCTTTTTATTCTGGTTCCCTAAATCCTTGTTCCTCTCTCGAAACTCACCCTCCCACCCTGCACAGATACAGTCCTCCAGAAGAACCCGTCTTTTGTAATGCCCACAGGAAAACACATTAGCATCATACTGTTCCTTCCTGCATCCTGCCTTCCCTCCAGGATTAGGATTTGGGGAAGAACTGCCTGCATTGCACCCGGTAAAGTATCTGGAGATTTGGGGTATCATATAAGCAATACGGATACATCCACACCGTGATGCATCTGCTCACAGTCCTCCAGAAGAACCCGTCTTTTGTAATGCCCACAGGAAAACACATTAGCATCATACTGTTCCTTCCTGCATCCTGCCTTCCCTCCAGGATTAGGATTTGGGGAAGAACTGCCTGCATTGCACCCGGTAAAGTATCTGGAGATTTGGGGTATCATATAAGCAATACGGATACATCCACGCCGTGATGCATCTGCTCCTGTTTTAGCCCGTGACATCCTCTGTGCGTATGGATTTTGATGCTGTAATTGCCAGATGTCAGCCCTCCCCGATGCACTTACTCAGAAGCGGCACGCTGCAGACACGCGGTCCTTTCTCATTCCCGGGGATTAGAAACCTGGGGCGTGCCCTCAGCTAGATCACAGCACTGGGCACAGGCCCACTTGGCTTTACATAGTCACAGGCACTTGCAAAGCATCTTAAAGCGGGGGAAACGCAGACTGCCCGCCTGAAGTCACAGGGTACGCTTGGTACTAGGGAAATTACAGGTGCCAGCCCCTGATAAAAGCCACTATCAATCACTAGGCGGGAGTCAGCAAACCTAATGCTTTGTTGCTTTCTCTCAGCCTGGCTCTGACTGGCCTTTTCGTCCCAGACAGGACGTGTCTTGAGCAGCAGCAAAGCCCATCTCAGAGTGACTTTAAGGGAGAAGATGGACAACAGGATGGAGTTGCCTCCATCTCACCTGATCCCCAACTCTTGAGAACAACCCTGAAGTATTCATGCTGTAGTGACCACTCCACACGCTGCACTGAAAAGAAAGTGCTACTCATAACCAGGGTTTCTGGAGAGGGGAAAAAGTTTCCCCTGGAATTGTGTTGCATAAAGGGTAAAAAGGATTCTGGGACCAACAGCATCACCTTGATTTAAAACGGTGCAGTAAAAAGCCCCAGAGCTCCCTCGGAAGGATGATCCGGTGCCCCTGCCATTGTACTGCACCAGTGACACAAAGACCTGAGCGGTGACCTGCAGCGAGGAAAAGCTGATCTTCATCTTTTGCCTCTTGATGTATTTTTATCTTGGACAGACCAAGAGAAAAAAGAGGTCTAATAGCTTCAAACATCAAAAACCAGAGGTACTGTCTCCTCTGGAGACCTCTAGGACAAGCAAAGGACTGAGTAGTCACAGCAGATTCTTTAGAGTGGGCAGCTCCGGGGAGGAAAAGAGCAACTTGGGGCCTACCAGGAAGCTGGAAGGGGACTTTTTACAAGGGCCTGTAGTGACAGGACAAGGGGTAACGGGTTTACATTGAAAGTGGGGAGGTTTAGATTGGATATCAGGAAGAAGTTCTTCATGGAGAGGGTGGTGAGGCACTGGAACAGGTTGCCCAGAGAAGCTGTGGATGCCCCATCCCTGGAAGTGGTCAAGGCCAGGCTGGATGAGGCTTTGAGCAACCTGGTCTAGTGGAAGGTGTCCCTGCCCATGGCAGGGGGGTTGGAACTAGATGGTCTTTAAGGTCCCTTCCAACCCAAACCGTTCTGTGATTCTATGACTTATTTTTGTCAAGCAACCAGGAGTCAGGAGCCAGCGATACGAGGGCAGTAAATGGCAGGAGATGAAAAGGACTTGATTAAATGAGAGTGAAGGGGAAAATTTGACTGCTTTCCAGTTCCAGTCTTGCCCCTCTTAATGTACTGGTAAAGGTCAGCGCTTGCAATAAAGCAAACGGCCCTAAATTAGCCATGAATAAACAAGAAGGTATGTAACCATCACAGCAAGGGAGCTGTGGAATTACTTCCTAACGAGAGTGGCAGAGGCAAAAAGCCATTATTTGGTTGGATCAGTTACATACACGGCAACCCGTGGTGGCTGTACCTTCCAGGGATACGGATTAGGCTCACCCTCCTTCTCTGAAATATTTTTGTTCCAGAATAATAATGTAAAGATTTTAGATGGATGTTTCATTCTTGGTGGCTTGTAGGGGGAAACACAGCTGTACATCCTGGAGAGAAAGCACTGGAGCTTCACTCAGAAAACCTTCCTGCGGAGAGACGGGTTGTACTGATAGAGGAATTATCTTGCTAATGCGTTGTCCCTATTCTTCCTACACACAAAGCCAATAGGATTTTGCTCAAAAAAATCCCCCTTTGAAGCAGCCAGCAGTGCAAGCCAGGACAGAAGCAATACTCTGTCACCACAGGCCACCCTCCAGCCAAAGGATGCTCCCTTTTGGTTTAAGGATACACATACTGGCTAACTGGAGCTGATGAGGAGGCTTGTATTTATATACACACACACACATATATATATATGTGTGTATATATATATGGTTTGGTGTTGGTTTTTTTTTTAAAGTGAAAAGTTATACCTTTATGTTCTGGGCAGTCTTACAACTGTACTTTATGCAGAAAAGAACAAACTAATCCTTAGGTTGGGGCGAGGAAATCAAGATTTGGATCAGAGCTGCTGCTCAGAGTTAGAAAGATTCAGGTCTTGCCTTCCAGCATGGATTCCCTTTCCTCTTACAGCTTCTGAGAGGCTCCAAAGGCATTTTCAACCCAGAGAACAATTAGCAATTATGGGAGGTATGAGCAGGTACCTGGATCAATGTGAAGAAATAAAGTGCAGCTCAGGTTTCATTTAGGATATCTCATTCTTCCAGAATGCCTACATTCCAGAAGGTCTACAAGAAGCAGTTGTGGATGCCCCATCCCTGGGAGTGTTCAAGGCCAGGCTGGATGAGGCTTTGAGCAACCTGGTCTAGTGGAAGGTGTCCCTGCCCATGGCAGGGGGGTTGGAACTAGATGGTCCTTAAGGTCCCTTCCAACCCAAACCACTCCCTGATTCATTCATTCTGGTGTTTCTGCTAAACAGGCATTTTTTAGGGACTTTAGAATCCCTCAGAGTGGCCAGCTATCTAGGAGATAGCCTGTAGGCTTCTTGCAATACATGTTTTTCCACCCCTTCCCCATCAAGCCTAAATATCACAAGCTGATCACATGGCTTACATAAGCAGAACATGCTTAGTACTGGCTGCTTAAATAGGCTAAATTAAATAGGCTAAATTTAATAGGTTAAATAGGCTGCTTCCAACCAGCAGCACGTTCAACAGCAGGAAATAAATACAGCTTTACTTTCTTCCTTTCTTCCATGCACACTGAGGGGCAAGAACAAACCCTTCCCCAAGGTTTTATGACAGGGTTCAAAGCTGGCAAGCTTGCAGCTTTGCGTGCACACCACCTGCGTGCCTACTGGCCTTTCCCAGGGCATTCTGCTTTAGCCACATCTTACCTGCTTGCAGTCAGCATTATTCAGCCCAATCCCAAACACCATGGTAGCAGCAGTAGAGGGTTACCCAGGACGTGGTGTGATCAGGGGACACAGCTCAGTGAGCTCGGCGGGAACCTTTCTGCACAGAAAGCATCCCAAACGCACTGGGGACTACCTATGGCACAGACATACATGCCACGTGAGTAGCCCGGGCTACATAAAAGGCCAGCTCAGCAATTTTAAAAGGCTTTCTTGCCCTTTGCACCCTGTGGTGCCAGGACACTTGGAGTTCTGGTGAACAGAGGAGAGGCAAGGTTTAGAGCAGTCATTCTGGGGGCCAGCACAGAGTTTGAAAAGTGCCATTGCTCATTCAGTCTTGTTTTGAGCACGGGAAAAGCGCTGCCTGTGTCACACGGCACCAAAGCAGGACTCAGTACACCAGGGCTCAGTTTCCAGCCCTGACAATGTCCCTGCCTGACTTAAGCATGTAACTTGACTGCTCCCAGCCACAGCTCCTCACCTGTGACACTGGTACGAACACCCAGAACGTCGCGAGGACAGAGATACTCCTGCAGTAGCTTAGACACAATGGCCACCAAAGGAGTCCTGCAAAAGAGGATTTGTTGGAGTTTCCTTGG